ATCCCTGAGTTAAGATTGACATTAATTACATTCAGCAACAAACTTATCAGAGTCGGTAATAGATTTAAATAATCCGGATATAGATCCATTATCCCGGAGTTAAGAATGACATTAATTATATTCAGCAACAAACTTATCAGAGTCGGTAATAGATTAAAACAATCCAGATATAGATCCATTATCCCGGAGTTAAGAACGACATTAATTATATTCAGCAACAAACTTATCAGAGTCGGTAATAGATTTAAACAATCCGGATATAGATCCATTATCCTGGAGTTAAGAATGACATTAATTATATTCAGCAACAAACTTATCAAAGTCGGTAATAGATTTCAACAATCCGGATATAGATCCATTATCCTGGAGTTAAGAATGACATTAATTATATTCAGCAACAAACTTATCAGAGTCGGTAATAGATTTAAATAATCTGGAAATAGATCCATTATCCCGGAGTTAAGAATGACATTAATTACATTCAGCAACAAACTTATTAGAGTCGGTAATAGATTTAAACAATCCGGATATAGATCCATTATCCCGGAGTTAAGAATGACATTAATTACATTCAGCAACAAACTTATCAGAGTCGGTAATAGATTTAAACAATCCAGATATAGAGCTATTATCCTGGAGTTAAGATGGACATTAATTATATTTTTTTAATCAAAGAGCATAATCTCAAAGTTCTAATTTAGACATCAAGGGAAAATTATCAGTAACAAATTTCGTCTGGGAAACCACGAGGAACCAGCTGCGCTATTCAAAACTGCCATAAAACCACTTTTTTCAGATGCAATGATTACAAATTGTGGACTAGAAACGTATACACATCTTGAATGTAGGGATATATTGACATCAAAATTATAAACGTATATATACCTGGAATGTAAGGATATATTGACATCAAAATTGCGGACGTATATATATATATATATCTTGAATGTAAGGATATATTGATATCAAAATTGTGGAGGTATATATACCTTGAATGTAAGGATATATTGACATCAAAATTATGGGCGTATATATATCTTGAATGTAAGGATATATTGACATCAAAATTATGGACGTATATATATATACCTTGAATATTGACATCAAAATTGTGGACGTATATATATCTTGAATGTAAGGATATATTGACATCAAAATTTACAATTCGAGAAAAAGGGGGTGTTTCCGAATTATTTTAAGTTTCAAAATTACAATTAGCGGGTATTGAATCCCAAGTTTTATCATTATAAGCCCTCTAGCTTATCGCTGAGTCCATGGTGAGGGGGAGCAGTTCAATAGAAGATACAAGTTTATATGTTTTCTGTTTTAAAGAATCTTAGTCTCCCTGTGGAACAGCGGTAAGTTTCCAGACTTTCAACACTAAAATATGGTGTTCGATTCCCCGCGGTGGACACAGCTGATAGCCCAATGTGACATAGCTCTAAAAAAATAATTATTTTATGGTACAACAAGGATGCGAACACGGTTCGACAGCTCCGAAATTCAGAGATCAACCCTTTGACCAATAAAAAGAAAGATATAATGCGTTATGTTTTTATATAATGTGTTATGCTTTTATATAATGTGTTATGTTTTTATATAATGTGTTATGTTTTTATATAATGTGTTATGTTTTTATATAATGTGTTATGTTTTTATATAATGCGTTATGTTTTTATATAATGTGTTATGTTTTTATATAATGCGTTATGTTTTTATATAATGTGTTATGTTTTTATATAATGTGTTATGTTTTTATATAATGTGTTATGTTTTTATATAATGTGTTATGTTTTTTATATAATGTGTTATGTTTTTATATAATGTGTTATGTTTTTATATAATGTGCTATGTTTCTGTTATACTGTCAAGTTATGTTATTAAATTCACCTGCAAATGGAAAAATCGATCTTGTTCAGAACCGACATTCAATTATGGCTTGTGAAAGACATGTTGTTACTACTTGCAATTTTCAGCTTTTTTTTGTTTTTGTTGTGAGGCCTAACACGAATCACAACTAAGTACGATCTAACCACTCACATTTAACGTGTAGTAGATTATGACGTTCCCCTTTAACGTGTAGTAGATTATGACGTTTCGTGTTAATTTTACTCTCTTTTGCCATTTTAGTTCTTGAAATATATATGTTTGAATCATATTATATATCTATCAAAAACACTTGAGAGACTTGCTTTCTGTTAACTGTTGAAATGATTTTTTTTTCTCTGTATCGTAGAATAAACAATGCCAGCTATTGGAGCATCACGTGAGTACTCGAAGATATCGTGCGAAGAAACTTCATTGTTAATTTCAATAAAAGATGGCAAGGAAGTATCAAAACCGAAAAGAAACCGACGCCAGTGGCTGGTCTTGATAATGCTCGCCTTTGGAAATTTTTGTATTGCTTCTTGTGTTTCACTTCAGGCGCCATTTTTTCCAAAAGAGGTAAAATAGGGAGGGCACGTAAAATTGACATAATAATAAGGTATTTGTATTTTAAACTCAATTTAAATTGACGAACAAGGCCAAACTGTATTTCAGAAAATAATAGAAACGACCAAAGATACTTGATAATAATAGTTTTATATAATTTGGAACAATAGAAACAAATCAATTATAATTAAACAAGTAACAATAGCCGAAGAAAGAATATAAAGCAGCGTTCATGCTAAAAACCCAAATTATTTTAATTACAATTCATTACTTTTAACAAAGAGAATTTGTGAATAAAAATGGGAATTTGACCGTTTGCCTCAATTTAGACCCTAAAATAAGAAAAATTTGCATTTCATTTTTCACTTTCTAAAAACAAAGTTTTTCTTGAAACTTAGTGTGGGAATGAGCTTTTAATCTTGTAGGGTTCTTCGTAAGCAGCATTTCTTTATTTGGACATAATACACGGAACTTTTATGTATATAAAACAAAGAAGGTAAGCTTCTTGTCACGTTTGTTGGTGTAACCAACATAAGATTCCCTTTGACTCAGCGGTAAGTCTGCAGGCTTACGACGCTGGAAATCGTGTTTTGATACCCATGGTAGGCAGAGAACAGATAGGCCAATGTGTAATTATGCGCTTCACAGCAACTGATCAACATAATATGCCAGTAACAAATGTTAAAATAGATAGAATGAACGGTTGTACTTTTACCTCCAAAAATGATGAAATAGTAAAACATTAAAGCATATGTAACATAAAAAGTCTTGTGTGTGTGTGTGTGATTGGTCAGAATGTCAGTGATTCAAGCAGGAGGGAAGTTCAATATCCAAAGAAATACAGAAGCAGCGATACTTGTGTTTAGGAGCTTGAATTAAGCAATGAAAAATTGGGATTGAAATTCTCAACATGAATTGCAGAAACCTTTAGGTTCAAGATATGGCCGTCTCCAATCTCGAAATACTGACCAGAGGGAAGACAGCCAGCCAGCGAATAGCATCTGTCGCCGAAAAGACCCTGAAAGTTTGGATCATATTTACTAGTTTACACACGTCTCGAACTCTGGACCTTTCGATCCGCGCCCTACACGATAATCACCTCCCACGTTTGTTTTGAATAATGAAAAAAAATCAGTATTCGAAAAGTACAGTGATTCAGTTAACTTGTAATCCGTGTTTAAAAATCAACCAACTAAGTTTAGAAAATAGGTAAATACAAAATACCGTATAAAGTTTAAATCCATACTAACGGAACAATACGGAACGTTGGATTGAAGTGAACATGTGAAATGTGGAAACTAGTTTTCGTTTATATTTAGTGTTGTTCCGTTAGTGTGAATTTAAACATTATCGTAACTAATGTTTATTTTACTCTGTAGTGATTTTCTTTAAAAAATACATTCTGCTAGCTTACATTTACATGTGTGGCTTCTACTACAAGGTCAGGTGGTTAGGGCACTCGACTCGCAATCTGAGGGTCGCGGGTTCGAATCCTCGTCCCACCAAACATGCTCGCCCTTTCTGGCGTAGGGGCGTTATAATGTGACGGTTAATCCCACTATTCGTTGGTAAAAGAGTAGCCCAAGAGTTGGCGGTGGGTGGTGATGACTAGCTGCCTTTCCTCTAGTCTTACAATGCTAAATTAGGGACGGCTAGCGCAGATAGTTCTCGTGTAGCTTTGCGCGAAATTCAAAACAAAATAAACAAGCTACAAGAAAGTATAGCAAAGCAGTTAAAAAAAAAGAACGCATTTGTAAATCAAAAATTATATTTTTATGACTGCATATTTACTGGTTTTTATATAAGTGTTATAGTTATAATAACTGTGTTTCATCCAACAGGCAGAAATGAAAGGAGCAACTCCAACACAATACGGTTTGGTCTTCGGGGTGTTTCAACTCACAGTTTTCATTATTTCTCCAGTATATGGAAAATTAGTAGGTGTTTTTAAACTGGTTTGATAATCGTTCATATGTATATGTATTTATAATCACAACAGTGAAAAATATCACTACTTAGTGTATTCCTATTGATTCCAGTTTCATAAGAATAATTATAAAGTTACGAAAATGTCTAAAAAGAAAGATATATTCCAGTTAAACACGTGAAAGTATCTGAGAAACTCTACTTGAAAACGTAGAAAAGATTTTGGGCCATCTTCTGTCTTTACCGCAGGAATCGAACCCAGGATTAAAGCATTGTAATTTCGTAAACTTCTTGCTGTCCCACCGGGGGACAGAAAGTTTAGAAGAAAAAGTAGTTATTATATTGAAATTTGTCTTCAAACGCTCTTGTGCCAATCTTATGAATATCGTGACAAAACATTATAAATTACAAACCAATCAAAGAAACGAACGTCTTATATTACAACGCGACTGTTATGCAGAAATAGATTGTGCAAGCACTTATGCTATTCTTATGATCGTAGTGACATAATATAACTAATTACGAATCGAACAAAGATATTTTGAAACGACGTGAGCTATTACAACGTGTCTTAATCGTAAATTGCCATAAGGTATATGTGGATGTTTAATAGCTTGAAATAAAAACACGGATCGCTGTTACCGCCTGTAATGAATTAGTAATCGTATGACCTTGATAAACCTCGAAACGTGAAATACATCTTAGTGAGCAATACAAAAAATAAATAACTAAAACCGTTCTACTCTGTAGTAAAATATTGTTATTTTTCTCAATCATCATTTATTCAAATAATGTTAAAAATTCACTTTAAGATAAAATGTTTTTTTTTTGTAGATGGCGCTAATTACACCAAAGTTTATGCTAAATGCTGGAATATTGGTTGTTGGAGTAACGTCGATTTTGTTCGGGTAAGTGATGATTTTGTGTTCGTAAGTTGACATCCCAGATCTTATGTCAAAAAGAGCATCGTGAGAAAGTATAATACTGCACACAGTTACAGCGTACTTTATACATCTGGAAATTCTTTTACTGGAAAGATAAAAACTTTGGTCTGTTTCTTTCAGCGGAAAGCCACACAATGGGCTATCCGCACTCTGTCTACGGCGGGGAATCGAACTCCGAATTTTAGTATTGTAAGTCAATAAACTTATCCCTGATCCAGCGGGGGTGGGAGGAAAAAATAAAGTTTAACTAGGAGAAAGTCCAACACTCTTTATAGTTAGAATAAAATAAAATATAATCAACAACCTTATTGAAAATTAGCTTTTCTGTGGTTCAGGGGTAAGTCAGTGGGCTTATAACCCTAAAAATCTGGTTTTGATACCGCAGCGGACAGAGCTTTGTGCTTTATAACAAACAAATACACAACTGGAAACAAGCCGGCGTTTAATGTTTAAAATATTTAAGATGGTTAGTACGCTAGAAACCTGGTTTCGATACCTGTGGTGGACAGAGTACAGATATCCCATTGTACAGCTTTGTGCTGTATAACAAACGAACACACAACACACGAAGCAATCCGGCGTTTAATATGTTTAAAATAATTAAACTTGTTTAGTACGGTGTAGCTGAAGGGCCAATAATTAAAATTAAAATGAAAGAATTTCACAACACTGTTTTAGCAAGACGAAATAATTAGAACATTAAAGTATTCTTAAGCACTAAGCTACTTAATGGGCTATCCGTCCTGTGCTCACTACGGATATCGAAACCCTGTTTTTAGCGTTGTAAGTCCACAGATGTACTTCTGAGCCACTGGGGAGCTTTAAAGGAGGTAAAAGTGTTTCTTTAGGATCAGTGATAGTGTTTTCAATTTTTGGATGATAACACAAACACTAGAGTTTCAATCTCCAAGACAGAGATTGATTTATCTGTAATTTTCCCAAGTATTTAGAAAAATGGTTCATTTATTTTCTTAAATATGTTTGTGTATACAACATATATTAAAGGGTTGAGCAAAATGTTTCAGTCCGATAACACCTGTTATACACATCGGAACAGGACAACCAATTTATTGTACATATGAAACCTGTTCTTAAATTTAGTTTTGAGTATTTGTAAGGGCGTATTGGAAGTTAGTTAACGCTCTAGGTCCCCAATTTTAGGTGTGTCCCTTCATTGTTTGAATGACTTACCAGGAAAATTATACATCAACACCAGAAGAACAACAAATTACAGTGCATTTAAGTTGGTGGAAATTTGTTTTTATTCTAAGAAAATTAAAAATTAAATCTATTTTGAGATAAAAAATGTTTTGAAACTTTTTTTTTCCCTAATATGTGCCCCTCAGATTGTTGCACTCTAGGCCCAAGCCTTGAAAATCTATTGGTTAAAGACGCCTCTCTTTATGTGCACATTAAATGTAGTAAAGCCTAAACACTTAATTTTCCCATTTCCGATTATGTCAACAAAGTGACCATTTAAAACAAAATTTCGAAATGACTTCATTATTTTGCCACCCACTTTTTTAAATGTTATTTTCGTATTATGGTTTTTACGATAGCGCGTTAGTCAGTTGGCGTGAGGTTAAAGGGGCGTAGAACTTTGTACTATACATCAAAGAGTCCTTTATTATGGGATGGTTTAATGGGAGCTCAATTCACCTAGTGCTTTCCTTTCTTCTTAACCAAGTGACGTTATTGCTAGGATCTTGTGTTTTGATGTATATGTTGTTAACCTACTTCCAAAGTTTGTTTGTAATAAACAACTGATAAAATCATCCATTGAATGAGGCCAACTGGGGAGGAACGTTCATTGATATATTTCAGTAATCGTTTTATATTGCAGAAATATTTTTTTATGTGTCATTAGAGGCGCTATCTTCAACCTGTTTCTCTCTGTTTTAACGCCGAAAAATACGCTTCGAAGTCTCACGTGCTTGAATGGATGGGTACAAATCTGAGTCTCTTCACTAGTACAGAGTTTTCGGTACCGAAGAAAGTAAGACCAGTTGGAATAGTCTCAGAATTTATTGCTGCTGTTTTGACTCTTCATTGAGACAGTTTACACTTTACATGGTCAACTGTTTGCTTCTGAGCATAAGAGCAATTCTAAGATTCAGGTGTTACTTTATCTTTATTGACAAAGACTAGAAAATAGTTGAAGTTACTGTCAGTGGATTAGATACAGCCGGCCTTGAACCGACGTCAAAAAGTCCCGTGGTCTATCTAAAGTTTACTCTGTCTTTGACTTATAATATTGTGTTATCTGACACTGTAAATAATCTTAGCGATGTGCATAAAGAAATATATCTCGAAAAAACGAAATATCTGTAGTTTTGGATCTTTATATTTTGCCAAAGATGACGTGTGTGCGCCATGTAAAGCTTTACCGACTCTTTTGTTGACATTGGTTGATGTTGTGACGGCACGTGCAAGACCGCTGTGATATGTATGTTCGGTATTTTTATACAATCAGTTAAATACAAAACTACACAATGGGCTATCTGTGCTCTGCCCATCACGGGCATCGAAACCCGGTCTTTAACGTTATAAGCCTGCAGGCTTACCGCTGGTCCACTGGGGGAGGCGAAATACTATCAGTTACATCACGGTAGATACAATAGCCACTTTGAGCTATCTGCCGTGTCCACTCTGGGGAATCGAACTTCAGATTTTAGAGTTGTAAGTTTATAAAATTACTGTTGTCCCATCGGGGGGGGGCGAAATAGGTTAAGTTATGAGAAGTTACGTCGTGTGGGAAAGGTAAAGACTGTGGAATATGTTTTATAAGTACCCGTTTGTTTATTTGTTGTTAAACACAAAGATTCACAGGGGGCCTACCTATGCTATTCTCACGACGTGTGTCAAAATAAGACTTCGAGATGTCTTATAATCTTCGATTGTTCTAGGATACACAGGATTTGAAGAAAATGTTCAATATGAAACCTTTACTGATTACTTAGGTTTTTGGGACACTGGATAATACTTAAGAATAAGAAAAAAAAGTTATGTGTGTTTTATTATAGAGCGCCTCTTATTAGGTATTGTAGTTGGGCCTAAAATATTGGCTAGATGTTGGTCTATATGTTTAGGAACATTTGAATTAAAAGGAAAATGTGTGTGCCGAATATAGAAAACTTGGCGCACGTGTTTCAAACATGTCGTCCAAAAGGGAAATAAAATAAAGAAAATATAATACAACTCCTAATATAAATTCTAAATAATTAATTGCGCTATGAGACATCAAAATAAAATAATGTATGAACTAAAAAACCATCAATACAAATGTCATCAACGTCTACGTCTAAATTTTTGTTTTGTAATAGATACATACATTAGAGCCCGACATGGCCAGGTGGTTAGGGCACTCGACTCGCAATCTGAGGGTCGCGGGTTCGAATCCCCGTCACACTAAACATGCTCGCCATTTCAGCCGTGGGGGCGTTATAATGTGATGGTCAATCCCACTATTCGTTGGTAAAAGAGTAGCCCAAGAGTTGGCGGTGGGTGGTGATGACTAGCTGCCTTCCCTCTAGTCTTTCACTGCTAAATTAGGGACGGCTAGCGCAGATAGCCTTCGTGTAGCTTGCGCGAAATTCAAAAATAAACCAAGCCAATAAAAACATATATAAACACATTCATAGGCAAGCGATCGTCTAGTCCAATGTGCTGGTACTTGTTTATTGCATGTGTAAACTTGATATTTATCTAAAATGTATTTCATTTGAGGATAGGCTAAGATTATGATCCATAACCCGTTTTCAAATTATCTCTGAAACAAAAAAAAAAAAAAAAAAAAAAAAACAGCTCTGGTGATTTGAGAATCTGGGGAAAGATCAACTTTAGCAAGAGAAAAAAATAAGGTGGCGAGAAGAGACATAAAAAATAGAGTTACTCGGAACAGCAGATAAAATGGGTTTGTTTTGTTTGTTTGAAGTTAAGCACAAAGCTACGCAATGGGCTATATGTGCTCTGCCCACCACGGGTATCAAAACAAGGTTTCTAGCATTGTAAATCCGCAGACAAACTGCTGTGCCACTGGGGGTGGGGGGAAATATTCTTAAGCACAAAGCTACACAATGGACTATCTGTCCTGTGCCCACCACGGGTATCGAAACGCTGTTTTTAGTGTTGTAAGTCCATAGACATACTTCTGAGCCACTGGGGAGCTTATATAGTGGGAAGAGGTATTCAACTTGACAGTTCTGGTCCAGAGGATAGTTACGAAACACTTGCTTTTAATTCCAATAACAGTTTTAAGTTTGTGTGTCACATTTCTATTTTTACATTTGCTTGACTTAACGAGTTTCAAGGTAATAGTGTCGACTTTATGGTTTCTAGAGTACTCGACAGATCACCAGATGGCACCCCTTTCGTTGCACTAGCATTTGCTGTGCGGATTGTGGAAGGCTTAGGATCCGCAGCATTCACTACTTCGAGTTTTACTATTATTGCTGCAGAATTTCCTCGAAACGTGGCTACTACGTTTGTGAGTATACAATTCTTCTTTGTGCCTCTGTAAAAAAATACAATTTATTACTTAGATCAGGGGTCACCAAACTTTTTTCACAGCGGGCCAGATAACTGAGAGAATGACGAGCGCGGCCGCGTAACCATTTTGTTCAATACAATACAGAGAATACACAAAAAATAAAGACAACAAACATGTTTATTTTCCAAAAAGTTATCAAAGAAGGCGACGTTAGCAATGAGATAGTTATATCACACCCAGTGCGCGCATATCCGATTCTCACAAACTAAACAGCAAAAAAAGTTTGGGAAACTGGCGTTTAGCTTTTGAGATATCATCAATATTTGCTTTGGAATTGCTTCATCCAACCAAGAGAATTGCTTTCAAATGTTCATCAGATGGAGAAAAATACTTGGAAATTCAGTTATCTCTCAACAGATGGAGAAAAAT